CCCCGCCCCCCCCCCCCCTCTATTTCATGTAAATCCAACAAGCCGACCAGTTAGCGCGACGCACGGGATGCCTTATATGTCAGCGAAGTAGAGATGCACGCTGCGACGCGTGGTCCATCGTGGTTAGGAATGAGAGGTGTAAATGGGGGATGGTTCGGAGCGACGTCCCAGCATCCCTTAAAGTCCTGACGGGAGCCTATTGTGTTTCAGGGCTCCACTCGCCGCACGAAGGACTGGCCAGCGGCTCCGGACAGGGTATGTCAGGCCTGGCCTACTACCAGCCCGACCACTCTGGCTCAGCGGGTGTCGTAAAGTACCCGGAGAACGGACACGACACCCTGTCGGATTTCGTGACGTTCGTCTGCCAGGAGGCCGAGAACACCCAGCAACTACCCCAGGTAGCTTCCGTCTCCGTTAAATGCGCGTCGAGCTGCCCCGTGTGACGTGCTCCAATTGCCCTGGGCCACGGCACTGCTATGTCACTTCTCGTATATGTGTATATCGTTAGGAGCTATCGACGAGAGCCTCTCGTTAGAATGAGAATGATCAGTCGTCATCCGCGTCGCGAATCAGTTGGACCGAGTCGTCCTCGGTACCAGGTCTTAGATCCGGTCCAGGGTACGTGGAGGACGCACGGGTCGATCGATGATCGGTGCTGTGCGATTTTCAGGCGCAGCTCGCGGGACCGCGGACCCCCGTGCAAAAGTTCTCACAGTATTATCCGAGCTCGATGCTACCGCCGCCACCCCCGGCGCCGATGGCCCGGCCCGTCGCCATCATCCGCTCGACCGGTGAACTCACAGCAGCCAGTGCCAACTCACCGCCGACCTCCTCGACCTCGCCGTCCGATCCTTCCGACCTTGGAAGCAGCCAGGACCAGCAGATGGCTGCTGCCGCGGCCGTCGGACTCGTCAGTTCACCCTGTCAGAGCTCCGTTGACCCCAACGGCAGGAAGAGCCCCGCCAGGATCCTTGTGACGGCGCCCCACACCAGCAGAGAGTACACCTTTGCTCACTTTCACTCCCAACCTGGTCAGGTGAGACGTCACTTCCTTACTCTTGGACACTGAAGAGATCGCTTGGTCTGTGTTACATTCTTTTTTTTTATTTCAGCAAATCTTCACCTACCCCACCATCAGCTCGATGTCAGGGGTCATCTCGCCTACGAACCTTTCACTCTTCTCATCCCCGGTCTCGGTCACCAGGCCCGTCGCCACCCAAAGATCTGTCTCGAACGTTCCACCTCGCTGGAACACTGCGCCGTTCATCAACCTGGAGGATGATTACAACATGATCGCCCCTATCATCGCTGGCACAGCCAGTGAACCACCGTCTGCCATGGATGAAGGTATGCACATCACTTATTCACATCAGTGGTCACATTTCTGAGCAGGAACTCTGCACTTTCAGAACGCTACTTTCATCCCGTGCACTCGAGTAGCGTCGTGGACAAGAGTGGACCCGCTGGAATGATGGGAACTGACCTCGGTGGTGTAGGCGGGGACCCTACGTCGCATCATCATCAGCAACAGCAACAACAGCAGCAGCAGCAGCAGCAACAACAACAGCAGCAGCAACAGCAACAAGTGATGCAGGATAAAAGTGGAAGACCAAAGTCTCCTCCGTGACACTGGAGACTTCCTCTCGTTCGTCTCGTTCGTCTTGGTAAATTAAGAGGACTCGCAGGACTCGTAGGACTCGTAGAACTCGTAACGAATCTGTGGCGATCGCAGGAGCGCTCGGTGGAATTACTCATCGTCTAGGTCATTCCTCTGGACGTGTTTCGGTGCTACTTAATAAGTAACTTTTGCCATCCCCCACTTTAATGGGAGGCAATGGAACAATGAAGCAATGACGCGAGGTTACATGGACGCCGGAGGGATCGGTAGGAAGTCGAGGAGGAGTTTGAGCGTACGTCGAATGGCGAACGGGCTAAGAGATTATGAAAAAGAATATGAGAAATCGGCTCCATCGAGACGACCCGCTGATCGCTGGCTAATTAACTTTACCTACCTATGCCTAATGCTCAGGCTAGTGCTAACACTAGTGAGGACTAGTGCTCAGGCTAGTCACCAGAGGCTGCTAGTTAGATACAAACTAATTAATTGTAATGATAATTGACGGTTAAAAAATGGTTAACGTGTTAATCGATTATTCATAATTAATTATAGCTATTACCATGACGTTAATTGGCTAATGGAGCCTATCAAAATGACAGACAGGAAGTACACCTGCGCGCGCAGGCGCTTGTTATTTCGCGTAAATAGGGAAACGAACGGTATCGGAAAGGAGAAACAAACGTGAAGTGAGGAGGGTGAAAGAGAGAGAGGAGATACGGACATGGGCCGTTATCGAGACAAAAGAGGAGATCAACAGTATCATTTTTTGGAACAAGAACAAAGTCGTTCGAGATTATCGCACCAGTTCAGAGTGCTCGGCTGTAACAAAAAGTATCGGGTCAATCCTTATCGGAACATTGTTAAAAATCAGGAAGAAGGGAGTACCTACGGCGCTGCGGAATGAATTAACGGGGGGGAAAAAAAAACGAAGAAAAAATCAAAAATATTTATATAGATGCCAAATCAAAAGATCGAGTGATTCGATAATTATAGTTGTTTAGTTGATAACTCGTTTAAGGTTAACCTCGACCTCCAATCGGGCTTACTTATTGTCAGTCATCGAGTGACCCATCGTGCACCGTTCTTGGCACGTGTCCGCCATGAGACTTTCGATACTCCCTTCCTCGTGACCTTTGATTGTAAAACACGGCCGCATCCTCTCATTCAGTTAGTACACACTTACTATCCCTACAGACGGATTAATCTCTATTTACGCTGCAAAATCCTACTATTGTTACTAATTACTAACGCTGCTGCTACTACTATTACTACTACTGCTACTACACACTACTAATACAACTACGCTACAACAACAACTACTGCTACCGCTACTATAATATAATAACACTATTTACTATTATCGCTATACTAAATAACACAACTACTACTATTATTAACATTTATCGAAAAAAAAAAAATGAAGGAAAAACAAGAATAACAACAACCAGTGCTACTATTACCGACTATTACTCTTAATATTTACGATTATTATTAACGCTGCGAATTAATACTACCTAACACTACACTATACACGTAATACTATTACGAATACTGATACTACTACTGCTATTACCTAACGACTACTTTATTACGTAACCGAGAGCTACGAAGCCGCAATGTAAATATATTTGAAAGACTCGAGTTGTAAGGAATAGTATTGCATACTAACGCATAGAACGAGGAACGTGAATTCACATAGACACGCGCGCCAAATGCTCAACTTCAAAATGTTGGAGGAAAATTTTTCAAAATTTCTTTCCCCAACAAAAAAAAAAGAAACGAGATCGCATGGAATCGTAACGGAAGGGCAAAGAGTCTCGAAAGTTTGTACGCTTATGCGAGGGCGCCAGTAAGCCGTTGAGCCGTATTAGTATGGTAAAAGTAAAAGAAAAGTAAATAAGAAAAATACACTTCGGTGCCAAGCAAAGCTAAGATAGTCGAGAATACGCTTAAAAAAAAGTATTTCCTAGGATTCGTTTTTCTTTTTTTTTCTTTCTTTTCCCCCTTTTTTTCTATAAAATCTAAGAGCACGCAACACACGAACGCTAAAACGTAATGTGCGAGACGTAGGACGTAAGCCGAATGGCATAAAAAGAAATGGGGTGGTCCGGGAATGCGGAACGCGTGTCCTTTTGAGGATAAGCGAGAGAGAGAGAGAGAGAGAGAGAGAGAGAGAAAAGAATTTAAAAAAAAAAAAGAAATTTTCCACAAACCTCGTTGCTCCCAGAAGGCTCGGCTTTAATGTAACGACAGTGCGTAGCAGGCGATAATACGAATAGGCAGACCGAAGACACAGAGATAGTTAGCTAGATAGATGATAGATATATAGTTAGATAACTTAGTAAGATACATTTAGATAGATATAGATACGTGTAGATAGACGAAGATGGAAATGAAATGAAGGAGTGAGTGAGAACGAGTGTCGAGAAGACACGTGAACGAGTTCATGATTTTGGATAATGGCGAAGCGCGGAGGGATAGGGAAAAGTAAAGAGAGAGAATCAAGGAGAAAGAATGAAAGGAAAGAAAAAGGAATAATTTAGACGAAGGTGGCGCGCGTGCTTTCGCGAAACTTCGCTCGATCGTTTCCTTTCGCCGGCGAACGGTCAGGGAGCGTCCAATATGGCGTCCGTTTGGCGTCCAAGTTAAAACTTTCGCGTTAATGTCTCGAACTGCCTTGAACCGAAAGTGCATTAAAACTAAAATTCGTACGTACGTTTAAATACGTGTATAAGTTCGTGGAAGTTTTACGTAACGATATGTATTATGAGGTTAGGGGCCGCCTAGGTGATGACTTTTCTACACTAGCGGGTAGCTTCGCGTAGAGACTGTCGAATTTGGCCATGTTTTTCGATCGAACGTAGCCCTAGGCCCGGGCCACCCTGGCGACGTAGACGTTAGCAAGACGCTGCTGAACGTTAGGGAAAAACAGAAACAGCAGAGGAACGCTGTCACACGGTAATCCTAGAAGCAATATTAAACATGGGAAACCGTGTGACCGGGCGTGAATATATATATATATATATATGGCTGGTAGTGTTTGCCACTGAGAAACTTTTCCGGGCACGCAGGTACAACCAACAGTTAACAAGAGCAACGACAGGAGCAGCAACGGAAAAAAAAAAAATTAAGAAAAAAAAAACTAAGTAGCCATGGGAGTGCGCTTGCTTTAGTCCTTGAGTACGTGATGAGTGAGCGAGAGTGATGAGGACGCTGATTTAAAATGATATTATTTAAAAAAATAGTACGGTAGAGAAACTAAGGCAACAACGACAAGAAGCAACAATAATATTATATTAATAATAATACCAGTAACAATAAATTAATGATAATTGTAACGATTACGATAACGATAATAGTACGATTATAATGACTATTAATACGGTAATACGGTGATTACAATGATATACATATATTATATAAAATACAATGATATATTTATCGAATATTTATTGAGCAATAACACATTGTGTAGCATGGTTGTACAAAGTAGGTAATGCGTGAGAAAGAGAGAGGGGGCAGGGAGGGAGAGAGTGAGAGAGAGAGAGAGAGAGAGAGAGAATGTAAGAGAGAGGTAAAAAGGACGCGCGAGCTTAAGGAGAGAAAGAGAAGCGAGACAAAATGAACAAAAGAAGAAAAAAGAAGAAGAAGCGCACACACAGACACACACACACACACACACACAGACACATAAAGACACAAAAATGAGGAAGTATCGATAAACGCTAAATAACTGATAAATACGGAAACAAAGTAAATGATGCGTCGAGTGAAAGAATACAAGAAGAAAACAAAAACGCGATTTTTTGGACTTTATAGTCCGACTTAATGTATTTTCGTTTCACGATCAATTTTTTTACGATTGTGAACGGAGTTCATGTTATATATCAGGGATTAGACTAAATAGTATAATACGCAGCGAGCGAGGTGGCAAAAAGGTAGCGAGTAGTATGAGCCAAGAGATAGAGGGGGGAAAAATAAGAAATAAAAAGTGAGTCGGTAACGAAGAACGTAAACATAAAAATGAGTGTGAACAAAGGGACGAAAGAAGAGGAAAAAATGGAAATCCCGCCTTCGTCGACTGGCCCAACGAAACCAATTAATTAATTGCCAGGGATTCCATCAGCCAATCTTTATCCGCAATTGGTAATTGTACAGGCGCACAATTGTACAGGGGGTTTCATCCGAGAGGGCCATACTCATTTGAGAGCCCTCGTGGCCTCTCACGTCGCTGAACAGTGGCCGCCTATCGATCATTTCTCCGAACTATTCGTATCGATTAAGTGACTTGATCGATATACTCGAAAAGCTCGTCCCTCGTATCGTAAGGAAGATACCTGAACTCTGTTACACCTTTTACCCATGAATTTACGCTGAGACGGCTCTTTGTCACCTCTAATCGCGCCATTATACGTTGTGTCCATACTGTCTCAATTAATATTATGTATTATATATCCGACAATATTGATTATTAAAATTCTTAATACATACAAGATGGCGGGACGCCCTTGTTGTACCCTGACTGTTCCTTCTTTTATAGATACTTGACCGTAACCATTTGGTTCCCTTTGTTGACGTCGGAGCGCCACTTGTCAGTTTTGTCATGCCAGGTGAGCGCGTCTTCCTCGCGCCATTTTCTTTGTTCTTTGTCAGTCAGTTTGATCGTGTGTGCCAAAGAGATATTCAATTATACTTTCTTCGTTACAGGAAGTGCCTTAGGGATCACTGACTTCCGGAATCTTCGTAGCACGCAACGAATTCTAGAACTTCGCGCAATTCCGTATATGTTTATCAAAATGGAGTTTATTGTTTCTTGAATAAATAATAATATAATAGAATGTTTTTTATCTTTCGGTCGATCGTTCCCTATACCTCCTTTTCAACGATTGAACGATGGTAATAGCTCCCATGATACAAATAGACGACGTATGGCCACTAGTGGCTCTGCGCATTTAATCCAGTGGGACCCTCTCTACTTTGATTGGCTGACTTTACGTATGTTTTGTAGTCATGCCGCAACATCAGTTCTATTTTGAGGGGTCATCTTTTTACGAATCGAAACGTAAATAATAATCTCCTTAAAGTTAAACGGATGTCGCTTTAAACGTGACGTCATCAGTTTCTGCGCAATCTTTACCAAAATACGATAGTGGCTATATCTCGTCTATTTGTACCATGATAGCTCCTAGAGAGTTTTTTTTTCAAAAGTCTTACGGTTTAGTTTTTTCTATTTTGTTTATCTTTTTTATTACAGTCTTGGAACTCTTGATCGAAAACCAATAGTACCGTATATTTCGATCACAAATCGTCAGTTGACGATTGGACGTCGCGTCGTTTAAATCTTCGATAATTTTTGTCTCGTCGAAAGGTAAATACAAAACGTTAAATTCATTCGGTGTTCCTCTACGTGTGACCTTGATTCTGTGAGACTTATTGTTAGCGGCAATGGTGAGTGATTAACGGATACATAATAAAATATAGTTATAAGACAGATTAAAGTTGACAAAGACGATAACACTCGATCCAAGATAAAATTCTGAATTTTTGTTATACATATATTATAAAAATAACTAAATCTTCGTCCATGCAAAAAGTAGTTTATGATTTATCGTATAGTTTCTGAGATATAAAAAATGATTGGTAATTTGCACTGTATAGATATACACAGACTATAAAAATATATAACTTCAAAATTGATTATCATCATTTTGAGTACGGTTAAACGTAATTATTTTCGGATCGAATGTTATTTTATATTTACTCATTTATTTTTTAACTAAACATCTTGGAATTTGTTAATGTTCGTTTAATCCGGGATTCTATATTACTATTATGATTATTATCACCCAACCACCTTAACGAAATAATTAAATTCCAAGGGTGACAAAATCAGGATGGTGAATTTGGGTAATTTTTTGTTAACACACGTTCATACTATCATATAAATTTGAATGAAATTTATTAAACCAGACATTGCGAAGTTCAACGTAGTCCAAACGAAAGATTCACAGTTGATTTCACAAAAAATTTAACGAACGATTGAATTATAAATTAAACGTGTAAATAATGAGCTCCGAGTGAATCTAATTAATTAGCTGAGAAGCAAGGTGCCAATTAAATAGTGCAATATAAAGGCATCCTTGATAATTCTGGAATGTTTACAAAAGAATTTTTTTTAAATTAATATTATTTTACAGATCAATAATTAAACTATATACAGACATTCGGAGTGACGATAGCTCTCTAATTTTTACGCAGTACTACTATATTATGCAATAAATTATCAATTAGCGAGAGTCTTACTTTTTAAATTTTTAACGAATTCACTATGCGCTCGTGTAAACTAATTACAAAATTTTTGATGCACTGTCAATACTATGAATTTCATTATTGCACGCAGCTACTGTCGGCACCACTGTGCGGTAATGAAAATTGGATATACAATATAATTTCTATAGATACCGAGTAGTAACTCATAACGATTAAACGTTATCGCTATATAAATTCGTGATAATTAAACTATACACGTTATCGTCACAGTAGGTACAATATTCACATGCTGTAATAAAAATACTCTAACCAAAAGTATTAGGAGATAAGTGTAAGTGCTCTTGCACAGTAAAAGTGGATCGTTTGAGTAGCGCGAGAAGATTCTCACTTTTAATTCATTTAATTAAAAAATTATTCAAAGAGACGGATGTTGCGCGGAGGATGTGATTAATACCGAATCCAAGAGTAAATTTAATTCCATCCATCTCTTTACCAATTGAAAAAAACTTGTCGCGTCAAAAGCGCTATTTTTACCTCCATGAACACATAAGAAAAAAATGTTATTTCGATATGTCAAAATTTAAAGTCACATATTGCTCAATGGTACCCTTCGGCTACGATAAGCTTCATTATCTTGGTTGTCGTGCATTGAAGGTGCGCATTAAAATTTTTAAAAACTGCTTTAAGTTATCAAAATAAAACGGAAAATAAATGTCGAAAATCTATCATTTTAAGCACAGCCAAATGGAAGCAGTCCGTATACGGTCGTGCACTGTTATGTGTAACAACGTAGCGTGTTGTCTGTTGTATCTTGCTGCGCCTCCAAGTAAGCAAGCTGGCCAGCGCTAGCCGTAAAATATAATATTTACGTGTGTTTTAAGTACGTAAATGCCATTCAACGTGTCAGCAGTGGAAGCTGTTCGTTGATGTAACTTCGACCTCCGCTAACGATCGATTCGAGAAGGCCTCTAGTAGAAACGATAAGTAGATATAAGAGATTTCCGCTAGGTAGAGCCACTTACATTTAAACCGAATTGATCACAACGCCAAGAGTCGACTAATCGTTCAAATGGCGTCGGACAAACGGTACTTAACCGAAAAGTGACTGTAGTTTAAAATCTCATATCTAATCAGTACCAAAAAGAATCAATAGATGGCATTTGACATGGACAGTGGCGCCGCCAGACAGACCGATCAATATTATCGATCGAACCGCTTGCTAGATTTCCTCATCAATTCTCTTAGGCTGGTCTCAATCGATCAAGCGAATCACAAGTTCAGGCTAATTTATCAAATTGCCGCAATTTGTCTATCTACGTATAAGTGGTCTAGTATCATTTACAAAGCAGCACACGAGGAACTCTGTTAGCAGCACAAATTGTGCCTGTTGACGGTTTACTCTTCTCAATCCCTGATGACGACTATTCCTTTGTCTGGCACAGCTGCCTTAGTGCGTTCAAGGTGACTTCACAGTGTGAGCTCGACGCAGTCCAAGATTTCTCTTTATAGCCAATCATATTATAGAAATTCGCTCAAAGAGATTGACCTTCACGTAGAACAAAAGCAGGATGGCTCGACAATAGGTTCCTGAACTCTTCTCGTATATACTTTGAGCAGCTGACAATGTACCCTTAAACGCAAGATAACAATATCAATTGAAACGTGTAAGCAGCAATCAATATAATTGCTACTGTCAAATTTAATAACCTACCTGATCTTCACGTCGGGATCCTGAATGACCTCACCATCACAGTTCCAAACGCTTAGTTCCGAAATCAATCGAGACGAATTGATCTCGCCACCAGGCTGCCCGTGTAATGTGGGCAGGGCTCGGAATGTGAATTCTCTTGCTCTGTAGACCTCGACGAACGGTAGATCATACTGTATAAATAAATAGTATAATGAATCGTTTAACGCACTCGCATCCTCTTTAAGAGAGCAATCGATAACTTGATCCTTACCAGAGTCTTGTGTTTGCTAGTGAGCCTGAGTAGCACTCTGATATTGTTTAATAGAGAAGTGTGCCTAATTAAAATAATATCAACACAGCCATCTCCTATGTGACAATGCGGACTAAATCCCAGTGGACTTCTGGAGCATGCGCAGGAAACATTAGCACCATTTACCATAAAGAATTTTCCTCTGACAGTCAACCACCCTGGAAGATCAGACGATCGTTACACAAACAAACTATAAAACATAAATTATGAAATATAAAAATATATATACTTGAGATTTCTTTATCGGGCACGGTATTATGCATGTGCTGCAGGCATCTGGTACAATTTTCCATACACCTGGTGCTACCTGCTGGATGACAAGGATCCGATAAGAGTTCTATCTCACCCTCGTATCCCTTGTTAGCAATAATCTTTTTGAAACCTGAAAAATAAAAAAAAGGTTGCTTTATATAAATTACGCAGAGAAATGCCAAAATGCTTTTTTTCCATGTATCTAATAGATGCTGCGTCCTCTCACCGGAATAATCGTATCTCTGTGGTCCCATCCAGCGAAATTTCTCACTGTCTCTGATCACGTCACCCAGGTAACCGTAGCTTAGGACGCTGGCATATAAACGCACTAGGGAATGATTATTATGAACAGACGAGAGATCAAGTCCCGTGCTGTCGCCAAATATCACGTGAATGGCGGCAGTCTGGACATCGGTGGTACCGTGAAGACTATAGGCCACTGTATCGGTACTTCCGCTGGGTATAACGCCGACGGGTAAATTAGGTGTTGGCAAATTGACGTCGGGGTCGTTGGGATCAATCTGCATATCTTTAGCTGCCCTGAGCACCAGACCATTAAAGACTTCGGCGAATGTACCGTCGCCCCCGACACAAACGACCGCCTAAAAACAAAAGACATCTTTGATGGAAGACATAAGAACACCACAAACAAGAGTCTCATATCCTAGTTGACCTTTTAAACACTTTAGCCTAGCTCTCTTACTTGGATATCATCCATACTAGCCGCAAGTAACGTGTCCCGGATGTGTCCAGCTCGTTCTGTGATCATAAGCTTGGTCTCGACTTCGGCGATGTTCATCAGAGGCTGCACATCCCTTTCCCAAATCTTAAGGCCCTTCTTCTTACCCCCAAAGGGATTAACAAACACCATTATCCTACGTGGCCGATGACTGAGTCCTGAAACAAATAAAATTTCCCAATTGGAAAGTATCGAGGTGACGAAAATTGTTGTGAAGAATAAACAAAAAAGAAGACTAAGCGTAGATAAATGATACCTTGCGTAAAACTACGTCTGAGAAACCGCACGAGAGTATAAGTCAAGAAATTGATCTATTTCGAAATAAATTCCTAATGTCAAATAAACCCGTGTCGATTTATTTTATTACTTAGATTCAACAATTGATCGAGGTAAACCAGTTTTTTAAAAGAAAACAAGATACCACTCTAATTTGACCTTGACTATGTTAGCTCGGGTACGCTTTACGATGACCCAATGTATACGTGGGATAATTTCCCTTTTAGATTCAAGTTCACTATTTATGGGCGACCATGACTCTAACCCTGGACCAACCATGAAAGACCCAGTGACTTTTAAACAATTTATATCCAAGGGCCTAATCCTAATACCTAGACGCCTGGAGGCACTGGAATATCCAGCAGCCCGACAACCTGACTATCAAAATTCTGAATAGCCCAACGCTCAGGGCCACCAATTGCTCGTTTCCTCTGGCACCTTAAATTACTTAATCAATTTGTACGCATTTGCACGGACAAGCCACATAAACAAACTCATTTGTACTCTCCTGCACGAATCGCGTAAGACCTTAAAGACCTCATGTGAACCCACTTGCACTCATGTTCATAACTTTTAATGACAGTTGAAAATAAAAAAACGTGCCACTACGATACACGCACGGTGCATTGTCTACAAAGTCGTACCCGTGTCCGGTTCTTGTCTCGAGATAATAAAAGATAATCCCACCAAGGTTATGCGAGGGACATGTTAATGATCAATAACGTTTCAGTTATGTTTATGTGCATATATCCGAGCAAGAAGTATAATTTTCCACTGAGCCATCAGCAATTTGTCATGCTGAATGAAAAAAACTTATTTTGTTCGTATGACGTCAATCGACTGACTAGGTAAAAATTTCCAGTCTCTTGCAAGATCAGCAAGTAATAATTGTTGGCCGGGATTACTGTGGTCAGTCGAGCGTCGGCTCTGCATTAGTCGCCGACCCACTAAAAAGACGCCTTTCTAGATCGCTACAATGAACTCGGCACTAGGTAATGATTTTCAGTCAGGTTATAATGGCGCGAGGAAAGGTAAAGCGTGCGTTATCCGTGGTCGCTTTTATCTACCTGAAACAAAAGGTAGGAAAAGATCAAACTAAAGATCATAGGAATATCTGCTATTAGGCTTATCGAAGTTACGATAATGATTGTTAGTGATAAATAAAAAGGCTTACCTGATAAATAATTCCTTATAGTCTTGACCCACGACGCCACTTGTCTGGGATCAGTGTGGCTCATGGTGACGCTGTGATGACTCCATTTGTTTTTAGGTCCACGTGCTGCATAATGAAGAACAAAGCTGGTTGGTGCCAGCGACGGGGACGTCGGCGACGTCGCTGGTATCTTTTCCTTGGTAACGTCACCGGGCGTCCAATCATCTCCATAATGAGCAGCCAGTACATCCGTAAGTGGGAGGGTCCATCGTGCTGGTGAAACAATGACAAAAGTTAAGGTCATCGGATATAGAGGAAAAAACTTTACATTTACGTACTATGCGTCAGTCTAATTTTTTTTTTTATTTCAAAGTCCTTGAACCATTAAGAAAATAATGGACGGAACAATGAACCGTCACTAAATGTACTTTGAAGGAACAAACAAACCGAGTGCGATAGCACTCGGAAATCCCAAGTTACGATATCGGTACAATAATAATATGGTATATCTGATAATGAATCGACACAGATAAACAAATCAAATTATTCATTGTCGATAATGATAATCGATTGGGTCGGGACTTTTCGAAAGTTTGAACGATAGGAATATCGATAACGGTTGCGGATAATGTGAAAAATCAAATACTAGAGAAAGGAGTGGTCAACAAGATGACCAAAGTTCGTTCACATTATAACATCCGTAATGTCGTCATAGTGATTGTTAATTTGCATACCAGGAAGAAGATACTGACTAACCCAAGTACATTGGTTAATATACAACAAACGATGTAGAGGAAAAGGTAACTACGATATCCATACAATTGTACCGTATTAGGATCGGGCAATGGTATGTCCTACTGGGGAAAAATTGTATGGATTTCCTGAAAAATAATTCATGGTGAAATATCGTTACTCTGTACGAGGCTTTATGGCCGCAGGCGAAATTATTTTGAAATTCCGTGTCACTCGTTGTAAATGTGCATTTACGCTTATGCGAAGTCATAGCGTTTCGCAACGCGCGACATTTTTTATAGGATCTTGCGACGGTGTGGCAAAGCGCGATTTAATGTCGGCGATGTAAATATTTTACGATGAAAATAAAATTCCTAAAGTTTGGTATTGGTCGAAGACGAAAATGAAGGGAATAACAAAAAAAGGCTGGAAAGTTTCGTCACGGCAGCTGCGAACGTTTATAATTTTAGGCGACGACGAAAAGCTCATAACGACAACACTTGGGAATGAGGTTAAAAGTCGATGGACGAAAAAAAGTTTTCAACAGGAAAAATACGAGCTTTTGCATTTTTGGACGTTGGCCAGGTACGCTAGGATTTCGTTTTCCTTCAGGATTTTCTCGCAGACGGCGCTGCCGAGCGGAACGACCGTAATAATTTCATCCTGTGCTCGAAAAGTAATAGAATTCTTTCGGTTCCGCTCGTAACTGAAAAAACATAAGTGTAATATCGAAATTTTGCGATAAAAAATGTTAAGGTAATTCGAGTTGCCTCACTGAATATTCCAAATAAATGCAAAATGTTAGGACGTCCAAGTCAGGAAAACACGTTGGTAGCACTGTGACTGTCTAAATACTGAGAAAAAATAATGAACTAATACAACATTTTAGAAACTTTGTTATCACAACAGGATATCGTTAGACGTATATTTAATCAGCTGTTCTTTCTTTTCTCATCCGTAGAATACAATTAGATGAAAAAAAAAATAAATGTCAAAACTTAACTCTACCGGAATCAAATGTAAAGATAATAATTTAGAAACCGAAAGGCTTGATCGGCCAATACGCGAAACAACGACCTCTGAGACTTACTGAATTCTTGAAAATTGGAGTGAACTTACAGTGAGAGAAAGGACGCCTGACGAGAGTAAACGAACTGGTGCTCTAAAAGCGGCAGCGTCATCCGCCAACAACTGAATATTATTGGAATCTCATGCGAAGAACCGTATCCAAGGTCGCATATAGTCACTGCATTCTAGTGATATCTCTATATCTCGTAGTGGCTTCAATGCTAAGGATCTGATATCTCGACAACAGGGGAAAAAAAATAAGTGACCCTATTTACGTGACGACTGACAGTTGGTGGTCCAATGAGAGTTCGTCCCTGACCCGCAAGAACCTGGCCTGTGTTCAGGTGCTGTCAATTCGACTGACAGTGACAACAGAATAGAGTGAGAGACACCTTGGAGTAAAAGAGATAAGCTTTGTTACAGTTGACGACAACTGTCATCGATCTTTTTTCCAACGACATGGCTACTGGTAGGGGAGCGATCGACCGGTTTGCCATCAGCTGCCAACAACGACTTCGGCTTGAATGAACTTACCACGAAGGAATCGAGTAAATGAATCAGGTGACACGAATAAGGCAGAAGGGAATCAGGTCAAGTGAAATTTTTACTTACTGTAAGGTGCACGTTCTGTCTCCCAGATGAGCGTACCACGATGAAAGTAAACCCGGCACCGTTTCTTTCTTATAACGAAGGTATTGAGTAGGACAGACCTTGAGGAATGATCCGATTCTTGCATGGTGCCGGGACTGCCAAGAGACATCGGTGTCTCTTGGATCAATTAGGTAAAGCCCATAGAATATGGAAGGTGATAAAGAGAAGCTGGTCTAACGGGTCGTTGACTTTAAGTTCTCGTTCTCCTTGTTCGTTCCCATCGATCGACCCGTTGTGCAACGAGACGGGAAGCACAACACTAACTGCTCTGCGTGTGACTACGCCGCTACTGAGTCTCCTCGATTTTCACATAGGAAAGGCGCAAGCTAGACTCCACACCGAACCTTGCTCCGACCGCTGGCTCGAGCCGACCAGAGCCGACTGAAGCCGACTGTAGGATCGGTCAGGAAGTCGTTCGCGTTCGCTATCCCTCAACTGCTTAGTCCGGGTCTCAACCTCAGTAGGGAGTAAAGGAAATGTCTCTTTCTGCACATGCGAGAAACGAAGAGAGAGACCATATGGTTTTAATTCCATTCCGTTTCGTTCCGTTTTAACGTATCCGAGGTTAGAATATAAAACCTTTATTTATTGTTCAACTGATTATTTTATGTTACGTATCGAATCGCGCCGCTGGACGTACCGACTGAGGTCTTAGTGCTGCCTCTCTTGGTTATTCAGGGAAATATACGACTCATTTACTTCGATTTATACGTTTCTGTTTTACCGGTAGAAGGTAAAAAATAAACACCTTACGTTCGCTATTTGCTCGTTGCGCAGTGTTATGATTCTACGTTTCAAGGTCAGTTATTTTGTACCATGATATATTTGTAAATAATAATGGGGTCTTCGTAAACAGAAGAGCAAACCGCAATCAGGTCTTAAATCATACGCGCGACTGGGGCAATGAAAATATTGGCGTCTGATAACGTTTCTTGTTATCACTGTAATTGCTTTATCCTTATTGTTGACTAGAATCATTTATACACTTTTTCATCAGCAGTAGAACATGCGGGCGATAAAGAATTGGAGTTCATTGCCTCATCCGCGAAGAATGCTTGTCTTTGTAAAACTAAAGAGTTGTTTGGTTTTTAAAAGTTTTGAATATACACGATTGTATTCTTTTCTATGTTGTACCATCTGGTTCACTTCAGTTGTCGTATACATATATGTTTATGAATCTATCATTAAGATAATTCAATTTACCTTCAAAAATTCTTAGAATGCTTCTTCGTGTCTGGGACGACTTAATATCATTCTTTGTTTGAATGAAAACATTGAAATTAATCAAAAGTAACTGGCACCTAGATTAACGCGCATGCGATACCATTATTGAACAAAAGGCAAAGGTGTCAGAAGAACCCCTTAGTACTGCTCGACTATAGTTGCACTAGACATAACTATAGCTATATAGATGCCGGGGAATGTTCGTGGAACATTCTGGAGACTCGTTCGGCGCACGCCGCCGTTTTGACGAGACTGACTTCGAGCAGGGCCGTAACAAGAATTTCTAGAATTGCCCGTATTAACTGAAAACTTAAAATCGAGTAATTTCCATTTTACTACTTATCAACAATAGAGAAAATTTTGTAATTTCCAAATTCCTCTTATATCCTTTACCTTTTCTTTTAATTAATAAAATTTGATTTCAATACTCTCAAGTTTTAGATAAAGACATAATGTCGTGTCTAAATCCGGTATCGCTTACTGATTTTAAATTATTTATTTCGTGCAACAGGGCTTCATATCTTTCAAGTGCGATCATCTAAAGGACAATCACTTATTTACCAATGGCCAAAGGAACTCTAGATGAGCTGAGCATTAGTAAGTTTTGCGCGGGAAACATTCCGCCGAAGAACAAGCTTCGAGACTGCTAGGTAGTGGACGGCATTCCTATTCGATCACTGTTCGCATACACTCTCGCATCTCTGACAATAAGATTTTCATCACAAGCTCAAGTTAACGGGATGACGGATGACCTGTACGTTTGAACCGTAGCGTACGCGTCGATATTGCATCCAAGAAATCAAATTCCAAGTCTACATATTATAAAACAATTTCCATTGCGTCTGAAATTGGCGATTTTATAACCTAAAAATAATAGACAACTTTGGATGTTAAAAATTATAAACAATACAGTCAGTTTAAATCAATATAAATATATTGATCTTACTAATTTTAATCAATATGTATGTACATTCGGAATATTCTGGCAGTAGAACAGACAAATGCATTGTTACTGTGTAGAATAAAGAGTATTTTTCAGATTTTATGTTTCAATTGACAACCACTGGTGGGTCGTTGTACCACAGATTGGCCCTCAGTCCGTAAAGCACTGGCTGACTTGAAGCAAGCTAGAGTGCTGGCAGCAGAGCACAGTATTGCGAGGCACTGGGCCACAGAAAGATTCACAGAGGTAGGAAAAATACGACCACCGATAGACGTCGCGTAGCGACGCCCTACGGCGCCCTCTCGGACAGTCACGGCTGCTCTCGTGTCTTCCTTAGGAGCTGCTTTTAATACAGTAGAGTATGCATGTACATGTATGTACATATCAGCCGGCGCGGCATGTAAACGCACATACCACATACTCCAGCAAATTTATACTAAGGTGCGATTTAGCATATCGCACAGCGGCTAGAAAACTGCCGCTATCAGTAAGCAGATATGTACTAGGTGTATGGAGAGAATCAATACCTTTGAAATACTAATGCATCTAATGCTACAAGAGTAGTGATTTTGATTAGTATTTTTTTATTTGTATATTCGAAAGCGTAAAAGCGCGTCAATTTGATCGCAGGGGAAAATATGACATGAAAGTAAATGCTGAAATTGTCTGGTATTACCCTCTCGAATACGTTTATAAAATCACCCACCTCAAGTATGTACTTATTTAAAGTGTTCGCTTGAACACACGTGTCTAATTATCGTTCCCAATTAGCGAGTCCTTACGATGAATATTCTGCGAGAATGATACAGCGAGAGGCTTCTACTGATCTCGAGTTAAAAAATGTTGTCAATAGATCTGAAACATTAAAAATTAAAAGATCTTTTTCAACTTTAGTAGTGACGATTGCGACGAGGCTCACAATGGTGCTCAAATAATTTCATTTCTGATTGTAAAGAACCGGCACGTTCTATCCGTGGTTATAAAGCGAAGAGTAATCCCGCGGCCACTGACGTACCCAAAAGTGCAGATATTATTATAATCATTTCTCATAAAAAAATCCAGAACTAACCACTGACAATGGCACATACAATTGTACATAAGTGAAATATATTAAATGGATAATGTAGAGACGTTGGTAAATATATGGAAAATTAGAAGAAAAACAATTCAAACAAGCTTGAAATGTTTAGGAGTAGGTGAACATGCTCCCTTGGTACGTTACTGAGGCTGAAAACGTAGAGCGCATGCGCATATTCGAACCAGCCAATAGGAGGATGGCCGGTGCCACGGTAGGGGCATCGTGGGGGCTCAAGCGGCCTTGCGCGTTTCCTCGCTACTGTGGAAGTTGGAACGCGTCCATTTTGTGAGAACGTACGATCCCGGCTAGTCGACGCCGGTGCAAAGTATAATTCCCGTTCGCTGCGAGTTCACGCCGGTGTTCAGGTTCCTAGGGGCCAGTGGCTGTCTGTCCGCGGCGTCTTCGTCGGTTACATTTGTACGGTGTTGCGTGTGGTTTCAGTAGAGGTTCGCGTTAGAGTTGGCTCGTGTGAGAACCCGACTGAGGCGCTGTGGGTTACAAGATAGACAGGAGGACTCGTCATTACAGCCGAGTCTTCGCGATAGCCGTCCGAACCCATCGTGTATTTCGACTTGGACTGATTTAGTGGAGGCTAGTCTAGAGTAAGATGGCGGAGCTACAGGGGGCCCCGGTAACTCAGGACGCTCTGTCCGTAGCCCAGTTGGAACTTGGTGGGAATCCTAACGCTTTGGCGCTGCGCAGGCCATTTGATCCCGTGGCACATGATCTGGACGCGACCTTCCGCCTTACGCGGTTCGCTGACCTAAAAGGATGAGGGTGTAAAGTCCCTCAGGAGGTTCTTGGTAAACTCCTTGAGGGACTACAGGCGGACGATGGTAGCGCCCAGGATCATGAACATGCCCACTTTATGCACATGGCCATTCCGCGCATCGGTAAGTTCCTACGAGTATGCAGACCTGGTACTATTCCGAAAACTTTACTGCCAACTTGAAACCCTGCCGTACTGCTTTTGATCTCCAGTGAGAAGATCCTTGGACGTACTGCATCCTCTTTTGTTACAATTCACCACTTTATTATCCTTGTACAGTAATTTTTTTCTGTCAATTTTTAACTGCCAATGACGGTGACAGGATTTTTAAATAACTTATCGGCAAACGTCATTCGACTCGGTGCATCCATTTTTTTTTGTCTCTGTTGCAACAGTTGTAGATAAACTGACATCACTGTGTTGTAAAATGGAATATCTCTGATATAGGACGCTATAGGAACGCATTATGCATAATTTAAAAAAAAGTGCATCGGTCCTTGAAAAAGTACAGCAGAATGTATTTTTTACTCTAATCTAAGCAAGCACAATGGCGGCAAGCCGGTCCACTCTACGGCTGCTCGCATTGGTCGCCACGTTGCGTCTCCCGCCTAATTCCTTCCCACGCCACCGGAAATCCGACTGTTCTCAACTTTACATTGAAACTTCATTCACGTGGTCCAGTTTAATCGAAACAAATTTGAAATACTCATTGGTATACGTTTTATATTTTCTAACCCTTCCTATTTAATTCTCATACCACAATTCTCGACATCTTGAATCTTGATCATTATTCAATTAAATTAATACTGAAAATCTTTAATTGTTTATTTTTATTATTTTTTTTATTACAGGCATTGGTATGGATTCCTCCGTAACTCCTTTGAGGCACGGCGGACTCAGTCTTGTACAGACTACAGATTTCTTCTACCCTTTGGTGGATGATCCATACATGATGGGTAAGAAATTGAAAATAAGACAATGTATCCTTATTTTCCTTCCTCCATCCCTCCTATCTTCTTTAATACGCATTTCTAGATTCAGTGATACATTGTCAGTTTTCTATTCACTTCGAGCGTTTGAGATGATTTTCAGGTAAGATTGCTTGCGCCAACGTCATCAGCGACCTGTACGCCATGGGGGTAACGGAATGTGACAACATGTTGATGCTCCTTGGTGTGAGTACCAAAATGACTGAAAAGGAACGTGACGTCGTCGTTCCATTGATTATGCGAGGATTTAAGGATTCCGCGTTGGAAGCCGGTACGACAGTCACTGGTGGTCAGACTGTCGTAAATCCATGGTGCACTATTGGTGGTGTAGCTTCTACCGTCTGCCAACCTAACGAATATATCGTGTAAGTAGAGATCGTTTTTAAAAAATTCAACCTTGATATTAACTTGTAACATTAATTGTATCATTGATATTATCTTGTAACATTAATTGTAGCCCAGACAATGCCGTCGTCGGAGACGTCCTGGTGCTAACGAAACCTTTAGGTACGCAAGTTGCTGTCAATGCACACCAATGGCTGGATCAACCTGATCGTTGGAACAGGATCAAACTTGTTGTTAGTGAGGACGATGTACGAAAAGCTTATCAACGCGCGATGGACAGCATGGCTAGGCTTAACAGAATAGGTAATTACTTATAAGATAATACTCATTTGCATTTAGATTGCATTTAAGTTTGTAATTAATTTAAAAAAAAAATATTCTATAGCTGCGCGACTTATGCACAAGTACAACGCGCACGGTGCTACTGATGTCACAGGGTTTGGTTTGCTTGGTCATGCACAAAATTTAGCCAAACATCAGAAAAACGAAGTGTCCTTCGTTATTCACAATCTACCAGTTATCGCAAAGATGGCTGCCGTTGCGAAAGCTTGCGGTAATATGTTCCAGTTGCTGCAAGGACATTCGGCAGAAACTAGCGGTGGTCTTCTCATATGTTTACCACGCGAACAGGTATGTCCATAGTTGTTATATGAAAGAACGTCTACTTCTTTAACTTGTACAGTAAACGATTGGCTGAACGAATAGATTACTGGTTTCACACGCAGAAGGTTAGGGTTCGAATCCCGGTATCGGCCTGAAAAAAATTCAAATTATTAAAATTCCTTCCACAGATAACTGGATCCTGTAGTACAGTGGTGCACTTTTAAATGTTATTGAAGTGTGCTAAAGAAAATACAGGTAGAATAAAAATCACAGGAGAGTTCATCCCATGCTGAATAGCTGTTAATTGGCTATTTGGTGCATTAAACTGCCTGACATTTTTTTCTGGTCTTCTACTTAACCTCTTAACCGTGAATCACGTCTTCTAGAGATTCAGCTATCCATGGCTCACGCTTATTTTGTACATTTGTGTCTGCGTAAACCGTCGATTAATGCTAGATTAAGTTCTTAATAGAAAGTCCGACAAAGAAAATTCATGAAATTTATTTTCCTGTACAGGCGGCAGCATACTGCAAGGATATCGAGAAACAGGAGGGTTATCAAGCATGGATCATTGGTATCGTGGAGAAGGGCAATCGTACGGCGAGAATAATTGACAAGCCTCGAGTGATTGAGGTTCCTGCCAAGGAGAAAGATGGGGAACTTTGGTAAAGGATACATGTATCCAATATTTTCATCGCTCTTATGCACACACTCAGTCACTCAATAGAAATAGACACTGTCCCATACGACGGTGTCACATTAACACACGCGACACAGGCCGACAAATAAACACATACGTTAGTAACTACACTGTCTACTACGAGGTTGTCGTCGAGCGAGACATAACACCTCGGTAAACAATCAAGCAACTGAAGTCTTATAAATTGCGATCATTAGGGTACGTTTTTGTATCTCTTATCTATCGTCCGTAATCAGAAGGAGCACGAGGGTTTGTTTAATTGAAGTAATCGTCGTTCGAAGCTGCCGGGAAGTTCACTAAGTGTCGTTGAAAAAGAAAATTACGCCGAACGGTATTGGTGATTCTATTTGTTTCCTTGTTTCTTTTATTGTTTTCTGGGTATCTTCCTATCAGCTCCGAACGTTTACTAGTGTAGAGAAAACGAGAGAGAGTATCTGGAGTAGATAAAAGAAAAGAACGAAAAAATCATAAGGGAAGAAGATATGCAAAAGAAATGTTTTAGCATAGACCTAATAAGCTTAAGTATACATACTAAGTATAGACTAAGGTAGCACTAAGCACAGGGTAGGCTTGAGCTGCATTTTGTCAAATCCGCAATATGAGTAGTAGGGAAAAACAATATAAAATGAACGAAGCCAACAGTGGAAAGAAGGACCGTAAAACGAATCAAGCTAAGTCTGTTGAAAATGAATAAATAAGAAAAAGATAATAACATAACGTTTGTTGGGGCCTTCTTTCTTGTCAAAGAAAACGTCAAAACTAATAGTAATCGCGCGCGATGCAAATACTTTTAAGAACTAACTGTGCTCTGCGCATAGTGGGGACAAAAGAGAGAAATTAAAAAGAAAAAGTGAAAAGTCGACATCGCGCTCGTTTGGTACGTAATGGTGAAGATCGTCCAAGTGAAAAGCGCGCGTTGTCCAAACTCGGAGGCCTTCTCATTGGTCCATTTATATTTTTCCGTTAGCCCACATCCACGCACGCTCGCAAAGTCGAGCATACCACGTACCCATAGATCTAGGTTATTTGCCAAGCATTTAACGAACGCAAAACGTTCCGGCACTAATGTGAGTTAAGTGAAGAATATAAATGCGAGCCTATTTATCTCGTTACACGTTTAGGGGAATTTTGAAAAAAAAAGGCGAGGCCCAGGACCCCCCTTGTAATACTTACTTTTTCATATAAATAAAAGTGCTACTTTGTCAATAAATCCATCCATGATCTACCGCGCTCCAATTGATCCATCCATGTATTATCCATTGATCAATCTATCCATCTGTCCACTTATCTACGTCATGTACTAGTTACCTAATAACTCGAGAGTGAGGCATCCTCCGCGGAAGTCCGCCAGCAGCTCGTCGGGATGCGCAACGTTTGGCTGGCGTGAACCCTCTGTGTTGCGAAAGAGCGTAGTGTGCTTGCGTCACACGTGCGTGCGGTAGGTTCGTAGCTGATAGCTGGTGCTAAACATTACATTAATGTGTGCGCTATGCTCAGTAGCACAGAGCCGTGTTGCCGATTCGATCGAGATTACTATTATCACGGGTCAAAGATCAGCTGGCTGTGCGATAACACGTTCGTCAGTTGCAAGGCCAGTTATACAGGTAGTAGTTTACTAGTGTTGCTCTGTACGGTCTTGGAGCGTCAACGTCGCTCTCTGGAACACTGTACTCCCGGAGGAGAACGTTCGATTGGTATCCCGACTGCTAACGGATGGTAGCGATAACCACGTGTCGGCAAAAGGCCGTCGCCGCGGCCTTCAGGGCTGTCATCCTCGGCGCCCCCGCTTCTGGTAAAGGAACCGTTTCTGAACGAATTGTCAAGACTTTCGGAATTACTCACCTATCTAGTGGCGACAAGCTGCGTTTTCATATCGCCAATAACACAGGTATACATTGTTTGTACGTTGAACTGATTTTTGTTTAGCTTCTTTTTTTTTCATTATTGGTGCTTTAACGATTGTTGGAAATTCAAGCCTTCTTTCTTCCATTCATTGACAACTTGTTAAACGATTCTTGGACTCTGGTTCATCATCCTTAGTCCACTTACTGATCGTCAATTATCAGTGAATTATCTGAGCTAACTATATACACGTGGGTAACTTAGCGAGATGATGAGTTTTATATCATCAGGTCTATTTATGTGTTGTTGCTGGCGACAGTCTCTTCGATGTGAATTATATATATAACGTCAAGGCGACTGCTTCGAGTCTTTAAAGATTATGTAAAATGCTTCAATAATATTTGTAAAATCAAATAATGCATATGTGGTTCTAATTATTTCAGAATTGGGAAAAACAGTGAAGAGCTATTTGGAGCGGGGAAGCCTGGTACCAGACGAAACTATGATATCACTGATCGGTAAAGAAATTGAAAATCTCGGCGACGCGAACTGGTTACTCGACGGTGAGTCTGCGATAAGAATAACGATATCAACTTGAACTTAACCTTTCATACGTCTGCTAATTCGAAATGTTGTATGACACTGATGCAGGATTTCCCCGAACGATAATGCAGGCGCAGAAGCTGCAAGCTCTCTATCCTATCAACGTGGTATTGAACTTGGTGGTACCCTACTCTCGGATATTGGAGAGGGTGAAAAATCGGTGGGTCCACTTGCCAAGTGGAAGAGTGTACAATATCGGTTTTAACGACCCAAAAGTGGCGGTGAGTTAAAATGAAATTGTTTTCAAGTCGTATTTTCTTGCTTGGTTAAATAATCTGAGATACATTTATTTTTTAAATATTCAGGGAAAGGACGATGTCACTGGAGAGGATTTGTGCCAGAGGGAGGACGACAAACCGGAAATAGTACAAAAGAGACTAGATGATTATGCCAAAAGCACAGAGCCTGTCATCAGCTACTACAGGCAGCAGCACATACTCAGAGACTTTCATGGAAACACCACGGACGAGATTTGGCCCAGCATTCGAAAGTGTGTAGCAGAATTCGTATCGTAGTTTAAATATAAAAACAATACGTATCGCTCACAGAAACCTGATTTTATAGTCCATTTTATATATATGGGTAATGTATTTATTGGTACTTATTTGAGATTGCACGGTAATTTATTCACATGTGCTACAAAATAAATTTGCTAAACATTCCAGTTGAACATCATTATTTCAAAAAATGTCTCCGACACTATAATTTAATGATGTGACATATAGTCCATTCATGACTTCAACGTATTTTTTGTTGACAGTTCGGTTATTTCAATAATAAAATATATTTAGTGCGAAACGATGCACGTGCATACTTTGTAAAAAATATTTCGTCAATCTAAAAACAAATACGGTCCCTTGTTGGGCCTCGGAGGGATCGTAACTCTCTTCTGGAGAGGTAGGACCTCAGGGACATGGGCGGGTTGAAGCCCATTTCGCTCCCTTATATTTCCTACTTTTCCTACTTTCTCCAGTGTTCTCTTTTCTCGCTCCTCACGAATAATCTGGTCCTCGTGTTCAGTCCTTACCATCTCTCTTCTTCACTCTTTCTTTTTCACAATCTTCCTCTGTTTCCCTTCATTAACATCTTCCCTGTCTGCTGCCACGAAACATTTCTACTCTATTTTCTGGTCTCCTATTCTTTCATACGTCTCCCTCTCTCTTCTCCTAGTACATCCTTAAAAACTAAGTTGTTGTTAAAATGTCATTTGAAAAAGGAAAAGTCCAAAGTGGTAGCGCATATAACATACAACATGCCTATTATATTACAGTGACGTATTTAATATATCTCTCATGGTATGGTTATTGCTAATCTTTCACAGACCACATATATGTACATACATCTGTACTTCATATACTGTATCATTATTGCATTTGTCGAATAAATTATCTTGTAACACTTATACACGTGGATATTCTTTTATCTTCTGCGAATATCCGAGAGTACGAATGAGTTCTGTCTCTTTCTTACACTCCTCCGTCCTAACAGCATCCTTCTCCTTTTCCTCCAACCTTATACTTCTATTCCTCTTTTCGGCTATGCTGCATTTTCTCTGCCATTACTTTCATTCCATCAGCAAGTTGCAAAAAGTAAAGGGATTTTTTGAAAGTGCCCTATCACAGTTTATCTGTACCAGCGTGATACAGCTGATTTTCGAATTACTTTAAGTTTATTTTGTCGGAGAAAGTTCACTGGTTTTCTCAGAGATGGCACCACATATCATGCCCAGGAGGTGCTGCCCTCTTATCGGCGAAAATTCGAACTAATGCGAATTCTTTAATACGAATTTTCTCATTGAAATTTCGACGATGGGATTTTTAAATTGAATTCGGAATTATTTTATCCGAGAAAGTTCACTCGTTCTCACAGAGATGGCGCCACATATCATGCCCATGTAGCGGACGCGTACACAGGTCGTTTATATTTTCTATCTACTCACGAGGAATATATTGCACTCAGGTAAGTTTCACACACGTAAGCTTTTATTTTTCTTTGTTTCAGGTACAGAGTATACTAATTGCTGTGGACGCCATGGAACGCTCTGGAAGACTACTCTCTACGCTAGCCGTAGCGCTGCCGTCGGCTTCCTGCCAGCGACGGCCGGTAGGTATGGCAGTGCTTGCCATAGTTCGGTTGGTAAGTACCGTCTGCTGTTCGCTCTCTACACCCAGGAGGTGCTGCCCTCTTATCGGCGAAAATTCGAACTAATGCGAATTCTTTAATACGAATTT